ATTTCCTCTTCTTTTCTTTGGTTTGACTGTATACTTTCCTGTTCTCTGTCTTCTAAGTCTGATATTCTCTCTTCTGCTTCACCCATTCTCTTTTTAAGGCTCTCTAATGTGTTTGTCATTTGATCTATTGAATTCTTCACTTCATTATGATTTCTCATCACTATCACAGTTTCATGTTCTACTAGTTGTTTCATTTCATTTTGATTCCTCCTTAATATATCATTTTCACGAGAGAGATTTTCTATCTTGTCCATTAAGGATTTCTGTAGTTTGAGAATTTGTTTTTGAGAACTTCTTAATGTTCTTATCAATTTTTTGAGATCCACTTCTTGCATTTCTTCTATCTCTTCATCTTCATAATCTTGAATTGGGGTGTCTATTTCATTTGGGGCATCATAGTGTCTTCCTTGTTCTTGTTACCTCGGTTTCTGCATTTGTTGGACATTGTGGAGATATTCTTTGGTTTCTTCACTGTGGTGCTTTTTCTCGTTATACTATCTATGACTGTCTACTTTGGACTGTCTACTTTGGATGGATCCTTAGAGGCTGTGACGGGTGTGGCCAGAGAGCTCTGTTTGGTTCTTAGGGTTAAGGGTGAGCCAAAGGTGACTCACCCAGATTGTTCTCTCGCTCGCTCTCTCTCTATCTTTTTTTTTTTTTGGCTCAGTTGTGAAGTAATTCTGCACAGCTGAGTGGAATTGAGGGTAGTTGATGTATGAAATCTGGTCCCTGTGAGTATTTGTCTGCTTACCCCTGGGACCACACAAAGAGTTTATGCAGCCCTCAGTGTGGTCTCAAATTTCTCCACAGTCTCTCACCGGGTTGCCAAGGTTACCAAGTTTGTGTACTCGGTGAGTTCTCTCGCCACACCCCCCCCTCAGATTTTCAGTCTCAGTTCGTTAGCTCCATTCTTTCACTAGGTCCTAACCTCCTGTTATTTCTCCCCACCAGAGTCAGGTTTTTCCACTTGGCTAATGGCGGGTGCTGCTTTATGTATGTCTGAAATGGCGCCTGCTCTTTGTCTTGCTTGGCTTTGTAAGGTGAGTGGAGAGAGAGGCTAGTGTCCATGCCTGTTCCCCGTATTTATTCATTTTTTTCTCTCCTCCCGTCAGCCTGGTGAACTTTCCCCAGTGGGTCTTCAGGCCTCGTTCCCTCTAGGCTCTTTCTGCCTTTCCCTGCCAATGTCTTGGGTTATTGAGGTTCTTGTCTCACCTCCCCTTCTAGAACTGGCGCGCAGACTCTGCAGCTGGGCTTCCATGTGGTGGGTGACCTTGCTCTCCCCGTGGGTCCTCTGTGTCACATCCACTAGATCCAGAAGAGTTTCCTCTGCAATTTTTTCCTGAGCCTTCTCCTGAGGCTACAGTAACTCCACTTTTATTAAACTATCTTTTCCCTGACTATCAGAGCGCACCCTCACTATTCCGCAATCTTGGCTCCTCAAAGAATGTCAATTGTTAAATCAACAACAGGAGTCACTGTACACTTATTCCCCATGTAGGATCTCTCTCCTTAATGTGTTGTACTATGTGAATTAATGGTATAGCTAGTACTCAAACAGAACTTTATACTTTGTGTTTCTGTGTGGATGCAAACTGTTGAAATCTTTACTTAGTATATACTAAATTGATCTTCTGTATATAAAGATAATTGAGGCCGGCGCCACGGCTCACTAGGTTAATCCTCCGCCTTGCAGTGCTGGCACACTGGGTTCTAGTCCCGGTCAGGGAGTCGGATTCTGTCCCGGTTGCCCCTCTTCCAGGCCAGCTCTCTGCTGTGGCCAGGGAGTGCAGTGGAGTATGGCCCAAGTACTTGGGCCCTGCACCCCATGGGAGATCAGGATAAGTACCTGGCTCCTGCCATCGGATCAGCGCGGTGCGCCGGCCACAGCACGCTGGCCATGGCAGCCATTGGAGGGTGAACCAACGGCAAAGGAAGACCTTTCTCTCTGTCTCTCTCTCTCACTGTCCACTCTGCCTGTCAAAAAAAAAAAAGATAATTAAAATGAATCTTGATGTGAAAGGGATGGGAGAGGGAGTGGGAGATGGAATGGTTGAGGGTATGACTGAGGTTATGGCGGGAAAAGGCCACTATAATCCAAAAGTTGTAATTTGGAAATTTATATTTATTAAATAAAAGTTAAACAAAGAAAATGAGTATTATGAAAAGATTATGGGCCAGCGCCGCGGCTCACTAGGCTAATCCTCCTTTCTCTCTGTCTCTCTCTCTCTCACTGTCCACTCTGCCTGTCAAAAAATTTAAAAAAAAAAGATTATGCAAATGTTTCAAATTTTTATATCAAATTAACTACTTTTTTGAATGTTTATTTCATCTATTTGAAGGACAGAGCTAGAGAGAGAGAGATTCCATCTATTGGCTCATAACCCAAATGCCAACAAGAGGCAGGGTTGGGCGAGGCCAAAGCTAGAAGCCTGAAATTCCATCTGAGTCTCCCACATGGGTATCAGGGACCCAAGCACTTGGGCCATCATCTACTGCCTCCCAGGATGCATTAACAGGAAGTAGGGTCAGAAGCAGAGTAGCCAGGACTTGAATAAACACTCCAATATGGACTCAGATGTCCCAAGCAGTGGCTTAACCTATTGCACACAATGTCCACCCCAAATGTATCTTTTAATTCCATGAACTTTTTTTAAAAAAGATGTATTTATTTATTCGAAAGGCAGAGCAACAGCGAGGGAAAGACAGAGAGAGAAAGAGATCTTCCAATTGCTGGTTCACTCCCAAAATGCCTGCAACAGCTGGGGGTGGGACAGGTTGAAGCCAGGAGACAGGAACTCCGTGTAGGTCTACTACATGAGTGGCAGGGTGTCAAGCACTTGAGCAGTGATCTGCTGCTTTCCCACTTTCCTAGGCACATTAGCAGGGAGCTGGATCATAAATGAAGCATCCAGTATTGGAACCTGTGTTTCTACATGGGATGCCAGTGTCACAAGCTGCAGCTTAATGCACATTGTCAGCTCCTCCATGAACTTTTGGAACACTCTCACATATACCTGACTTCATATCAATATAACAATTGGAGTAATAAATAAAAAATAACTCTTCTTTACAGAAGACTCTAAATAAGATATGTAGATACTCCTTCTTCCAGGGGTTTAAGTTTCTTCCTTCTCTCACTTTCAAAGTGGGTTGGATTTAGGGACTCATTTTCAAAAACCAGAGTAAGAAAGGGGGAAAATAATAATTTTACAGAAGGTAAACCTGGCAAACACGACCTTAACCAAGAGATCAGAATTCCCATTCCCAGTCAAGTTGGTATCATATCATGCACCACTGATATAATGCTTCACATATGCAAAAATGAGTGGGCTATTGTGGTGGCCCAGTTTCCCATGTTGTGCATCAAAAGGAATACCAAACAGACAACAGGAACTGTGCACACACCATGGTGCCCTTTCTAAGTCAGAGCAAGCGCCTGCCTCCTGGACTCAAGTGTCAAACTCATCTGGGGATTTCACTGACTCCAAGGGAAGCCCCAGCTTAGAGATTAGTTATAGAGCTTCTTTTTTTCAAAAGTGTTAGGTTTCACTTGGTACCTGAGACTGACTGTGGCAGCAGTGCCATCCAGGGAAGGCAGCCGGACCTGGTCCCCTGTCAGTATAGCGGAATGGCACTGCCTTATTCAAAATTTAATAGATCTACCTTTGACCAGTCAGAGGCCATTATCCTCATTTCTTTCCTTCTGGACTCCCTCTTGCCCTTGTGTTGATTGCAGAAAATGTAGAAAGAGTTCAGAACACTGAACATGAATCCAAAACAGGGGTTGGTTGAGGAGGGGGCATGTGGATGGTGAGCGTGTCCACACAACATTCCAGGAATGGAAGGGAGCTTTTTAAAATTTGTGCCAGAACCTTTTGCATACAAGATACTTAAAATGAAATAATAAAGCATTATTATTAAGGGTAAATTGTAGAATAGCACAAATATTAAGAAAACAATTATTTAAAAAGTACCTGAAATGTAATATATTGGAGTGACATGGACATTTTGAAACTCAATGATTGTTTATAGCCCTTGTCTCTTCTGTTGAGGAACAGTGTTTTCTTTTTCTTCATACTATCTTTTGAACTCTATTTTTAGTGTAGTGTTAATTACATGATCATTAAGCAAACTGAAAATAGATCTTTGTAAAAATTAAAAGTAGGGGGGCCGGTACCATGGCATAGCAGGTAAGGCTGCCACCAGCATTTCATAAGGGTGCTGGTTCAAGTTCCACCTGCTCTGCTTCCCATCCAGCTCTCTGCTATGTTCTGGGAAAGCAGTAGAACATGGGCCATCTTGGGCCCCTATACCAGCGTGGGAATCCAGGAAGAAAAGCATTATAGAAAGAGATTAGTGACATGGCAAGCTATGAAGAAGCAGTGATAAAAGTCTGTTGAGCAGTACAAGATTTGGAGGGGGAAATTTTCTTGTATAAAATTAACATGTGCACCCAATATTGATCTTCTTTTGCCTTTTCAGAGGTAGTCATTTGTCTTATAATTTTGTCTATAAATTTACAGACCTATCAGGCCTTTTCCTATGAATTGCCTTACTTAGTAATTTATTTGTATATATATTTTTAATTTTTTAAAATTTTATTTAAGTTATACAAGTTTCATGGATTACATATATACAGATTTAGGAACATAGTGACACTTCCCCCATGCCCAGTAGTAAGATATGCCTCACCCCTGCTGCAGTTTTTATCCTTTTATTTAGAATCATCATAATGATATTGTTTTTGAATGCTTAGAATCCATAACTCATAATTAATGTTTCTTATCTTCAATTACCCCATAAAGAGATATAAGTCCTCTCCTAAAGTGCAATAAGAAAGAACACATCAAATTTTCACAGAATCTACAAAATCTTCAGAATGGCAACACATCTTTGGAAAATAACAATTCCAGACCAATATATTAGTTTTCATTTTTTATTAATTGCAGCACAGAGAAAAGAGGCCAAATGTTTGAAGGAATTTGTATGACTTAGATAGGCTGTTGGTTTTATATCAACAGAAAAGAAAAACAGATGAATAGGCTCTGGGTCTTCATTTCTCTTCTCTTATTCTCAGGGTAGGCTGAAAAACAAAGTGACAAATTCAATTGCTGTTTGTAAAATAGCAGGCATTTTTGGAATCTATTAATACAGTGCTAAGGTACTTAGATTTTCTTTCTGCAGTTTCCAACAGTGAAAACAATTTAAGCCTGTCCTAGACTACAGCAGTCAAATGCTCCTGTTGAGCAAAGGAGGAGGACACAGTAAGTGTTGAAAATGTTCTCTTTATCACTGATGTCATCAGATCCCTCCAGCTTCAGGGTCAGAGGCTATTCATCCTCACTTCTCATTTTCTTACCACCTACTTCTTAACTAAGTTATTGCCAACAAAAGCATCTTCCCACGGTTAGAACTCTAGGTAGAAAATGCTTTCACTTTGTACTAAAACAAGTCACATTTTTAAGTTACCAATTTGTGTTGATACAAAATTACTTCCTTGTCTGAACACACAATAAGTAGTTATTATTATGTGAGCAAAGAGTGATAACAATGAACTATACATGGTAGGCAGTCTGGACAACATGAAAATAACTGATGCTAAGAAAATAGTTGGACAACTTGTTTTTAACAACATTTTGGTTCATTATTATTCAATTTTTTAATCACTCCCAAAATACTACAAGCAAAATGAGTAGAACACATTTATATTCAAACATCTCTGTTTTAAAGTGGGTTCTTTTGTCACAAGAAGAGATGTCCTGTTACAGTCCAGCATCTTGACATTGCAAATTTAGTGGCAGGTTATCCACTGTAAAGTGGAAGTTTACATGAGGTAGATAGATCATGTCAACCCAATGAAATGAATTTACTGTACTACTAGGTTAAACCACATGAAATTATTGGTAATCTACTGTTTTTAATGCATAAAGATATTTTTTCCTATGGTTTAGTTTAATGCTTAGGGTATCTTCCTACTAACATGGATGACTTTGAATAGGCCAGTGGTGACCTCTTACTCTGGTTTGAAATTTTGAATTTTTGGCTTCACCTGTCACTCCTAGTTGGATGTCCCTTGGGTAAATTATTTAACCCATGCCTTGACTTGGACTTTCATTATATTACCTACAAAATTGGAATAATAATGGTACCCAGTCAGCCACTATTTGGGGAGTTAAATAAATTAATATATAAAGAGCTAAGAATAGTGATTGATCCCGGTCTGCAGGTTTCTTGGAAAATGACTAATCTTTACAATTTTAATAATAACTATTATAATTACTGCTTCAAAAAATCAAAAGTATAGTTACCTGAGATTATTGTGGCTGTGATTTTTTAGCCTAAGGTAGCTTTACTTGATTCAACAAGTTTTGGACCCTAAATATAAAGAAATGACAAATATTAAGAAAATATAGGCATTATTATTAGAATAAAAAATTAGTGGTTATATAGCCATTGTTGATTTCAAAGTTTTACATACATCAAATCCTTTAAATCCAATTTACCACCAGAAACCCTGGAAGGAAATTCACTGGCATCCATTGCCACCAAAAGAATAAAGAAATTACTACTGGGCCATAGAAGGGAATATTAAATGAATCAGACATTTAAATGTAAATTTCCCCACTAACCTATAAAATTATAAAATTAATCAAATCACAGATCAATACTTTTCAAGAAAATGTTTAAATAAATTAATGTTTTATTCTCATGAGCAAAAGACTTCAAGCCTCATAAATATTCCTATGTTCATAAACATCACAAATCTGGAAACTGAATAGGCATTATAAACAATATGCCACAAGGCAATAGAAGATAAAAACCAAGAACTGTGTAAGTCATTCTATAAGCAACTAATTGTGCGTAGAATAAGATGCCTGTCCCACATACCTTCAATATATAAATCCATAACCCCTAACCTGCCCAAACACACAAAAATAAAACTTAGACATATTAAAATGAAGGCAACTCCAGTACCTCCACAGCAAAGCAGGCCTCCTTGTCTTCAGCACTGCAGCACTTGTCTAACAAAGCTGTGAACTCTCCAACAACAGTTTTCAGTTGATCATTTGTTGCGTGGGGCTTGTGTTTCACCAACTCAACAAGTGCCCTGCATTTAAATGGAAAAAGAAAACAAAACAGCAGGAAAATTGTTATTTACCTCAAGAAGTCTTGTGACGGTAAAACTAGTAGAGCCACCATTTAAGATTACAAACACTGAGCCAGGCAACTCTGGATTCGAGGCCAGGCACATTCACTACAAGCTTCAATATTCTCCCCACCACCACCCACCCACCCCACCTCCAAATAATTCAGGTAACAAAATCCAATTTCCTATGGTTGGCTGACAAATCAAATGAGATAATCAGTGTAAACTGCTCAATACCTTGCATGTTTTCAACAAATCTCTTTGCAGTAAATTTCTAGAGAGGATTATGTATTGCATTTATGTATTCTTCAGATTTTAAAGGTCAGTCCAGACTTAATTTTATAACTATTTCAAAGCTAAAAATGGTCTTTAAAATTTTAATTATTCCACACTTCACTTTAAAAGTTTTTCATATAAAAATATTTATATTTGATCTTTGAAATTTGCATCATTCAGTATTAATGATGGAGGGGGTACTATAGGAAATAAGATTATTCAAACTCATGGAAGCCAGTGGTTCTCTTCCATTGACATTTGTAGAGACAATGCTAGAAAGAGCTATATTGCATGAGAGGCTTAACAATATTACTGTTAAGTAGGGACCATGGTTGTAGCCCACCAGAAATGATAGCAACTTAGCAACTTCCTGTGTTAAATTTCATGCAAGTCAACTCCTTTATAACAACAGTAGGGAGTTAGGTCTCATAATTCACATTTTGAGGTGTTTTTCTCCAAGTCACATTGCAAAAATCACAACTTACCATTTGCCTCATCTCTGGGGTAACCATAGACAAACTTTTCTACAAAAGCATTCATGCCTAGTAATAAATTTAGCTATGATTTCTAGTAACTATGTGCCAACATGCACAAATCCATTAATTAATGGTCCGGTTTTTTCTACTTGATCTGGAATAAGATGTTGTTTTACTATGTCTTTTATCCATCATAGTACTCTGAAGAATTTGTAGCCAAGATTATAATATAGTCATTTTGCTAAGAAAAAAAATCCATTCATTTTGTTCTAGACATTTGTCTCAGGTTAATAAGGCTAATAATTTTCTCTAGAGAATATAACCACTACTTAATCAAAGGTTGCTCATTTCAGTTTATATTTCCCACTATCAAAACCACAAACACAAGCAATAACGAAATACTGCTCACGTTTGTTTCTTGATTTTCCTCTCCGTTTCTGGAAGAGTGCATATGTCCGCATGGAAGGTGAATGTTTCAGCATTAAATTCTTTGGGGACGTATGTTTCATCGGGGCCCAGGGCGCTAAAGCATGGTCGTCTGTCGACCAATGACTCTGAGCAGCATTTGGTGACTTTCTCACTCACTGGTGTCTTCTCATGCAACACGCACAACCTGTTCAGGACCACGGACAGCTAAAAAACAGGCAGGAGAGCAGAACTTGAAAGGAAGCAAAGTTCAAAGTTTTCCAAAAACACCTACTTTCCAGCACACAAAATAAGCGATGCATTTTAGCTAGCAATGTTGAATGCAAGGCTGATTGAGGTGGTGGCTTGCTTATTCTTGGAATTACAACTAAGGTACTTCTTAGTCTTTTCTCGTTTAATAAGTTAGGTCTGCATTTTAAGAATAAATCACTTGAAAAAAAGAATAAATCACTTGAGAAAATAAATAACAAAATAATTTGAGATGGTATGTCTCGAAATATGTGTTGGAGTGGGGAAAAAGTAATCCTAAGCTAACACATTAAAAGGATACCTCAGAGAAAGAAAATTTAGAAAATGCCAGGATAAAATATTGAAAACTCATGAATTATTTTTAAAAAAGTTATCACCTTTGGGATCTCATTTAAAATCCTCATTTTTTATAGTCAGGCTATTATAGGTAACCAAATTCTGGCTGCCACTACCATATACACACACTCACACAATCATATGCACACTTTAGTCTACTCCTGCTTCTGAAAGTTAGCATTGTCAATATCTAAAGACCAAATTCATAATTGTTAGCTTTGTTATATTTTAAAAGACTCACATAATCTTCAACACAAGGCAGTCTTTCTGCTTCAGGATGCTTACAGCACTTGCTGCCCACTTTTCCTAGGCTTCTTGATATTTCCACGAGAGTTGGAGTTGACACTTGAGGTACTTTCTTGGTATAACGAACTAGGAGCCTGTACAAAAACAGTCCAAGTGTTTTCAGCTAAGCAAGAAGCTAGCTTTTTCTAACATGGTAAAAAATCAGTGAACACTAGTCAAAATCAACTAAGATGTTTTTATTTTCATCATATTATATCTATCCCCAGGGATGTGGGGGTAAAGTAGGAGGAAGATCTTTACCTGAGCAACAAGTTAAATCTGGATTTGAATCCTATGTAATACTGTAAAATCTTAGGATGGTGACTTACCCTAGGAAGGTTCATTACATTGATAAAATCATTATTGCTTCATTCTTTCATAAAATTTATTGAGAGCTTAATATAATTATTTATCAGCGCTGAGCTAAATTTTAAAGATGTGTGTGAAAAAATGGTAGCAATTTTACTTAACTACATAGGGAGGGTGCAGGGATTAAAAGAAACAGAGTGTACAATTAACCTGATATGGCATTTAGCATTTAATAATCATTTATTGAGAATGTCAATCACCATTGAAAGTCAATATCTGACTGTAATATACTTAAAGGAAAAAACTATGTCTTGTTCACTGTTATTCCTAACATCCATAGTTAGAAGAGTAAGTATATGAGTTGCACAATAAACATGTACTTATTGATGGGTTTCTTCCTGTCTTTACCTCCATAGCTAAGGCTCTATTGAATTGGAACATCAGTCAAGCAGGCCAATCTGTCTATTTCCTCTAGGGAGAGAAATTCTATGGGAAAATGAGGTTGTAACCATTAAAACCTGGCTATATCTTCTCCAAATCCAGTCTTTCCTGAAATACTAACATATGTATCTAAATTCATATTATGATATTTTTGTGTTCAGTTTATATATTACTTCGTGAGCTACTATAATTCAAGGCCTACAATTTCCTTCTTTATAAAGTATTACTTTGTTTTATTTGCTCATAAACTATCCTGCAACCTCAGTTCCAGTATACCAATCCTCCCAATCTATATATATCCATTCTCAAGAAATCAATGTTTTTAGAACATTCAAAAATATAGGCCCCTCCATCCCAGCAACTATTTCATATCACATCCTCAGTACTTCTTGATAAACAGTGATTGCAAATATAAGCAGCATTTCATTATTAAAAGTTCCATACTAAGTGGCCTATATGTTGTGTTAGATCATTATAAACCAATCAAATAAAAAAGTTACCCAATAAACAAATATGCTTACGCATTTTGGAAGTTGTAGTCACCAAGCTGCTCATAGAGTTCACAGTTTTGTTTCACTAAATTCTTGGGTTCATCCACAAGAGGCTGAAACTCATCAAGCTGAAACATAAAAGAATTGTGTTTATGGTATTCTGCTTGAGGAACAGATTCAGGTCATCCTCTAGTCACCCTACTATTCACACAAGATCTGTCCCCCTTTTTACCAAAGACTTGTAACTATATCTTCAATGCCACATGTAGCACGTGACATTCAAACTGTCTATTTTATTTTATTTTATTTTATTTATTTTATTTTATTTTTTACTTTTATTTTATTTTAACCTTTGAGAAGGTTTAGGAGGAGTTTTCTAAGAAATGAAGTGAGAAGAGAAAAAAATGTTCCTCCAGAAACATTTCTTAGAAAACTCCTCCTAAACCTTCTCAAAAAGATTTGAAAATATTCTAAGGAAGTTGGTTCACCACTTTCTTTAAGATATTAATTCTGGGGGCCAGCGCTGTGGCTTAGTGGGTTAAGCCTCAGCCTGCAGTGTCAGCAGTTCAAGTGCTGGCTGCTCCACTTCAGATCCAGCTCCCTGCTAATGTGCCTGGGAAAGCAGTGGAAGATAGCCCAAGTGCTTGGGCCCCTGAACCCATGTAGGAAACCCCAAGGGAGCCTCTGAGTATCCAGTAAGGGATCCTGGCTTCTGATGTGCCCAGCTCCAGGGTTGCAAGCATTTGGGGAGTGAAACAGCGAATGGAAGACCTTTCTTTATCTCTCTCTCTCTCTCTCTCTCTGAAACTCTGCCTTTCAAATAAATAGATATTTTTTTAAAAAGATATTAATTCTGGTACTTGATAAATCATCAAATCAAGTTAATTTTCTTTATATCTAAATTGAAGCTTTAACTGATATTTAAATTTATCTTGGCCGGCGCCGCGGCTCACTAGGCTAATCCACCGCCTTGCGGCGCCGGCACACCGGGTTCTAGTCCCGGTCGGGATTCTGTCCCGGTTGCCCCTCTTCCAGGCCAGCTCTCTGCTGTGGCCAGGGAGTGCAGTGGAGGATGGCCCAAGTACTTGGGCCCTGCACCCCATGGGAGACCAGGAGAAGCACCTGGCTCCTGCCTTCGGATCTGCACGGTGCACTGGCCGCGGCGGCCATTGGAGGGTGAACCAACGGCAAAAAGAAGACCTTTCTCTCTGTCTTCTCTCTTACTGTCCACTCAGCCTGTCAAATAAATAAATAAATAAATTTATCTTACTTTGGCCTTAGGAGAAAGAAAAATCATGGTCAAGACTTTGTAAAGTTAGAGATTGCTCTCTTCAACTTTTTCTTTCCTAGACTTTTCTAGAAAATGGTTTTAGTTAAGCATTCTATTTCAGGTTATTTTTCCTATAAATGCTGAAGAACACAGATTTGAACTCATCTCAAGAAAATATCTAAATTGTGATATATATCACTTCATATTCTTGCATTATTTCTCTTTGTCCTTATTGGAATCATCAGTCAGAGAGCTACATTTCTTTCCTGCAGGAAACCCACCACTTTGGCATAGCATGCGTGAGGGTCATCAGTGGCACAGCACTTTTTCAGGGTGGCTTCATAGGCCTTGCCAAGTCTCAGCAGCAGAACGACAGAGTAATCAGGGTGCCTTCTTGAATACTCATACAAAAACCTAATTAAGATAGAAACAGATTTAGATGGACAAATGAGCAAGAAAAATCACATGAATAAGCTCATGAACAACATACATTCCAAAAGTCTGAATTTGATGAAACTCTATGCAGTAAAGCTTAGTGAATAAAGACTTGGGGTCCAGAGTTAAAGTTACCTGTGTTCAATTCCTGACTCTGCCACCTATTTCACTCTATCACCGTGGGCATCTTCTTAAAACTATCAATCTTAGTTTCCTCTTCTGTACAAAGGGACTAGTGATGCTATCTATTTGTTCAGGTGGATTGTGAGAAACCCATGACTCAATCTATGCAAAACACAGTTTGTCCCATATTAAATGTTTAATGAATGATTGTTTTACTTTCATGTATCACTAGTTTGATTTGGACTACATTGCAAAAGGATTCTGATAGACAACAGGTACATAGATAAACGATAGATGAATATATTTTTTAATTTTACTTTTTCCTCTCTGGATAAGTGAAATTTTATATTTTATATTTTAAATTTTATATTTATATTTTCATGTAATATTATTCAGTACAGAGCAAAGTATCATAATCCAACAACAGAAGCACATATTTTTAAAAGTTCATGTTAAATGTATATATAAAACTATACATGGATTTTAAAATTTTTGCTCCAAAATAAACATATCTTTTAATTCCATTTTCCATGAACTTTTTGAAGTATGAATATATATATTTGGTTCTTTAGTGGATATTACATTGTAAACCTATGAAATTTATGTCTTTTCAACCAAATATAAACTATGTGGTGTCAGAATCCACATTTCTTTCTATACTTCTTTGCTTTCATCATGTAAACAGGTATAGATAGATAGCCAGATCTTGGAAAATATGTATTAACACATACAAATATATATGAATGATGTTCAAGAAATACCCTTTGAGGGCTGGCGTCATGGCACAACAGGGTAAGCCAGCATCCCATACAAACATCTGGCTGCTCCACTCCCAATCCAGCTCCCTGCTAATGTGCCTGGGAAAGCAGCAGAAGATGGCCCAAGTAACTGAGCCTCTGCCACTCAAGTGGAAGACCCAGATGAAATTCCAGGTTCCCAATTTCAGCCTGGCCTTACCCCAGCGGTTGTGGCCATTTTGGGAGTGAACCAGAGGTGGAAGATCTCTCTCTCTCCCTCTCTTGATATCCCCCCTCTCTCTGCAACTTTGTCTTTCAAATAAATAAAATAAATCTTTTTAAAAAAGAAATATCCTTTGAACTAATAAATAATACGCACACATTGATATCATTTATATATTTCCATAAATATTCCTGAGGAGTAAGGAAATTTGACTTTTGCCATGAGTATGTATCATACTTTATGACAATTTTTACACTGATTAACTGTTTCACATTTAAAGGGTGGGGTAGAGAAGGATCAAGAAGCATTCTTGGCAATACAGATATTACTGCAACTCTAAACAAGGGCCTCACATATCTTCCTAATAAAAGCTGTGAAAGGATAGTTCCTTATCTACTTACTTGCCCAAGAAGAGATCTTTTGCCTCTTCATAATTTTTGCAAACATCCTTATCCTCAACAAATTCCTCAGCTACTGCTGGCAAGCCAGCAGGTGTCTCATCATTATGCAAACCATAAATGCAGTGGGCTTTTTCCAATATTGGCTTATCACAGCATTCCTTCAGATGACTGGAGATTGTTTCCTGATGTTCACACATGTACTTGGCAAGGTCCGCCTGCAATCAAGTTGATGGAAACTACTCAACATAAATTGACATGGCTACACTTTCTCCCCAGCTACTTACTATGTGGCAGAACACACTGTATTCCAAGACAATACACATATCAATGAACATCAAAGAACATATTCTCAGTTGTATTCTAAGCCTGCAGCCTCAAATATCCCTACTGATTAAAAAAGATTGGCCAATAACAGCTTATTATTTATTTGGTAATCAATTGACTGCTGTTATGTATTAATTTTATATTTCTACTCTTAAGGGATTTAAATTGTTCTCATTAAAACTCAGTGTTATTTTTCCAAATATTCCTCACAAATTAAGTATAGTCCTTTTGAAGCCAAATATCTAAGTATGAGATTCTTAGAGAATAAATCGATTGCACAAGTCTTTGGCCTTCCTTATAACTATGACGCACCTCCCTTTAATGTTGAAGGGAGGAGCAGGCATGGTAGTCCAGCACATTAAGCTGCTGCTTGCAATACCTGCATTCCAAATTGGAGGCTGGTTCAGGCCAGCTACACTGAACTTCCCATCTAGCTTCTTGCTAATGTGTCTGGGAGGCAGCAGATGATATTCCCAGTATTGGGTCTCTGCTATCCATATGGGAGACCCGAACGGAGTTCCCAACTCCTGGTCTCAACTGATGCAACCCCAGTGGTTGTTGCAGGCATTTGGGGAATGAACCAGCAAATGGAAGATTCCCTCTATTACACTGTGCCTTTCAAATCAATAAATAAATCTTATTTTAAAAATTGTTTTAGGATGTGTCATAATAGATTAGAATTCTGGTATTTGGTTGTATTTTAATTCTTGAAGAAAGGGTGAAAATATTACAAGTTTGGAAAAAAAACAGCATGTCAAATATTCATATGTTTAATACAGAGAATGAGTGAAAGGGGGTGAAATACAACAGAGCATTCAGAAAATCCATGAAATATATGCATTATGACAAAACTGGGGCCAGCACTGTGGCACAGCGGATTAAAGCCCTGGCCTGAAGTGCTAGTATCCCATATGGGTGCCAGTTCTAGTCCCGGCTGCTCCTGTTCCGATCCAGCTCTCTCCTATGGCCTGGGAAAGCAGTGGAGGATGGCCCAGGTGCTTGGGCCCCTGCACCCATGTGGGAGACCCAGAGAAGCTCCTGGCTCCTGGCTTCGGATCAGCACAGCTCCAGCCGTTGCAGCCAATTGGGGAGTGAACCAGCAGATGGAAGACTTCTTTCTCTCTGTCTCTACCTCTCTCTGTAACTCTTTCAAATAAATAAAATAAATCTTAAAAAAAAAAAACTATGTGTGGGCTTCAAAATATGTGCACACCAAAATGAACTTCCTTTTTCATTTTTTTTTTTTTCACAAACATGTTGAAAGAACCCTAATGTGTCATTTCCCAAGGTCTTTTCAGGTACTGACCCTTGTCCAACCCCACCCACCTCCTCAAAGATCTTCTTCTGTAACTGTCCTCCTTCAGGTTAAGCCCATGCTCTCACAGTGTAACTGAAAGGGGTTACAAATCAGTGAATGAGTTCATCTGGTTATTTAGTAATAACCAGGTTTAAGCAGGGGAAACGTGGAGATGGAGTAGATGAGAGCAAAGAAGATAACCTCAGTCTGCACTCAGCTGCCACCAATGACTCAACGTATCTATTGTGAGAACTACGCACCGATTTCAAAATTTCCATGAACTCATAAAAGTCCCCTCATGTTCATCCTACCCACTTCAGCAGGTAAGGCTCTTTACCCTGTCATCTGCACATTCAAGCAGGTCACCGTGGCAGCATTCCTTGTGGACTTTGGTGAGATCTGTCACTATCTTGGAAATGTCTGTGAAGTCAGCCTTGGGAAATCTTTGGCTCAGACGAACAAGTGCCCTAAAAAGAAAATTTTCCCATCCAATTATTATTATCATGCAATATTTTACTTGCAAGCACAAAGGGAAATACCACTTATAACAAGGAAATTCAACACAAACTGACATAGAAATTATTTTTAAAAATCATTAGTTCTTATTTAAATGCTAGCTCTGAATCAGAGTTATTGTTTTAGGGAAGAATTATCCATCAAAAGAGTACACATGGTGGAGAAAGAAATCTAGTAATTCATAAAAACTGAAATCAAAGAGGAGTTCTAAAGGGGTCAGCAGGCTGAGAAACATCACATTTGGAACCAAATCTGACTTCCAGATCTGACTTTATCAGTTCTTAGCAGTGTGACCCAAGGCAGGTTCCTTCCCCTGCCTGAACTTGAGCCTCTACAGTGTCATAACAGAATGCTAAATCAAAGGCCTGTTCTGAGGAGTAAAGTAGATGGTACATAGGAAAGCATTCTGGAATCTGGGAAGTACCACACACTCACGTTATCTTCTTTTACTCAATTAAAACACATTTTCCTCCCTTCTAAAGGTTTCTGAGAAAAGAAATTTCATAACTTGCACCGCATTAGAGAAATTCATTACGCACTCTTATACCAAGAAATTGGCCCAGCACAGTTGTTAAGTTCTGTGATGAGATGGACTAGAATAGTGTTCTCATTCCCTACTGACTCATTTCAGAATCATCTAAATCTAAAAAGGAAGATTTCTTCCCCAGAATCAATGACGGCCTGTTTTACTGTGTATTGTTTCATGTGGGGGTTGATTTGGTTTATTTTGGCGATGTAGATGGTAAGACTAAAGGGCCTGACTGGTTTGGTTGAGAATTTTCAAAGAGTGGGTGTAATGCCTGTTATATTCATTTTATCTCCTTTACAGATCTGTTGCTGACCAGCAAATGACGGAGTTGGAGTATTTTTCTTAACTCAGACATTGAAGGATGCTCCTATAATCAGCTATTAATACAAGCATAAAAACAGAGGCCCATTCCAAAATGTGACATAAAGAGCAAAGTTGAAGCTCTGAGAAAATGAGAAGTAATATTGACGTAGTTGATAATTGGATTTAATTATTGGGACAAAATAGGACCAGGAGACACTTTTGGGTCATTGAAAGGTAAAATAACATGAAATAATGGACCATTACAATAAGGTCCCAAATCTTTAAAAGCGAATGGGATTTACCTATTTTTCCTTTCTTTTAGGTCAAAAATATAATAGATAATGTCCTCTAAATCTTTGACTCCATAGAAGAAATGATGAACCATAATGTTAACTTGTCATTGATATTCTGATTTTCACCTCTATTAAATTTCCACCTTTTACACAACTGAAAAAATGTATTGGAAAGCACTGTGTAAAATATCACATTTCACAATTTTTTCAACTTAACCATCATCATTTACTTTGCTGCAAAGATGTAAACAATGTTTAAAAAAATATTTACCATGCTTTGTAAGCTCTGTCTCCAAATTTCTGAATACTGGCACACCTGAGTCTCTCTTGGGCAGCTGAAATCAGGGCTTTTTCCTTCAAAGCATCAAGCTACAGAAAAGAATATTTTTAAAAAATTAGAAACAAATTCTACATAAAACACCTAAATTCAGATCAGACTGCCCCAAATTAAATTTTACAGAGATAAATAACACCTACATTCCCAAGTACTCCTTTTGGTAAATAATCATGTAGCTATATAGAAAGAGACAAAATTAATCTGGCCATAGTGGAAGCCTCTAGGTGATCCAAGGCAGTCTCGAGCCCTCCCAGGGAACTGGGCATTGAAAGGAGATGAGGGAGAAAAGAGGACACCAATACTCCTCAGCAAATGAAAGTTGGTTGGATTCTTCATTTTAGGTCCTCTTCCACCCCTTCTCATATCAATAAATTTCCCCAAAAAAGAGAATGAACTACATAATAAATTTTTATAGAATAAGTGAATGAATTTGGACTTCTAGATGTAGTAAAATCTTCTACTTCAAATTCTCTTCCCCAGTAAAATTTTCATGAAAAGATAAACTAAAGCTGTGGCCCCTTGCTGTGCCAGTTGACAAATGGGCATCTCTGTACCTCACTCTACAGATGACCTCCCCTTAGTAAAGAGCAGTAGGATGTTTAGACACGCACACAGTGACGCCCTGGTCGGACCAGCACTGGAAAATCGCAGAAGGAATGAGATCAGAGGCATTTCTGAGAATGGCAGACCTTTGGGGGATACAGCAGTGAGGCAGACTGTTTTGACCACATAGGGCATTTTATACCAGAGACTTAGCTTCCCTGACTAACCAGCCAATAAGGTAGACAGGATCTGAGCTCGCACTGTGAACTGGTTCTTTTATTATTTGGTGGAATACCTTAGGTGTGAGGCAGGCCCCTTTATCAGCAGCTTCGCAACATTCTGTTAGAATGGCTTTGTACTTCTGAGCATAGTAAAGGAGTTCAGGGGCATAAAAGTAAGGATGTCTTCTGGCAACTTCATATAAATAGCTACAATTTAAAAAAGAAAAGAGGGTTAGTGGTTTTCTTTTTTTGAATTTATTTAGCAGGTAGAGTTATAGACAGTGAGAGAGAGAGAGAGAGAGAAAGATCTTCCGTTGATTCACCCCCCAAATGGTTGCCACGGCCAGCACCATGCTGATCCAAAGCCAGGAGCCAGGTGCTTCCTCCTGGTCTCCCATGCGGGTGCAGGGCCCAAGCACTTGGGCCATCCTCCACTGCCCTCCCGGGCCACAGCAGAGAGCTGGACTGGAAGAGCAGCAACAGGACTAGAACCCGGCACCCATATGGGATGCCGGCGCTGCAGGTGGAGGATTAACCAAGTGAGCCACAACGCCTGCTGGTGAGTAGTTTTCTATAGCAAAAACCTCCCCCCAAAATAATTTATCAAGTAGCCCAATTTGCACCTGAGAGCCGTTTTGTCATTCTTTGAGTGAAAGGACAGATTAAATTTATATATGGGAGGTGCAGATGTATATGCATATCCGGTTAAATTTTGGTGATATAATGTTGCTGACTAAAATCAAATTACAAGTGAGATCCCAGTGGAAAGAACAGGTCAACAAAGAAGGAGGTACCTTTCTCTGAAGGGAGGAGAGAACTTCCACTTTGACTACAACTTTGTCTAAATATGATCAGAGTTGGTGAACTCAAAAGGCTTCCATAGCCTTGACAACTCATGACAAGAGCCTAGAGTGATTACTGATGCCATAAACAAGAGTGTCAATTTGTTAAGTCAACAACAGGAGTCACTGTGCACTTACTCCTCATGTAGGATCTCTGTCCTTAATGTGCTGTACATTGTGATTTAATGCTATAACTAGTACTCAAACAGTATTTTTCACTTTGTGTTTCTATGTGGGTGCAAACTTGAAATCTTTACTTAATAGATGCTAAATTGATCTTCTGTATATAAAGAGAATTGAAAATGAATCTTGATGTGAATGGAAGGGGAGAGGGATCGGGAAAGGGGAGGGTTGTGGGTGGGAGGGAATTATGGGGGGGAAGCCATTGTACTCCATAAGCTGTACTTTGGAAATTTATATTCATTAAATAAAAGTGAAAAAAAAATAAATAAATGAAGGTCAGATAGTAAATACTTGAAAAAAAAGTTTTGGAATCATTAGTAAAACTTTGTATTTCTATGTTAATTTGATTTGAAGAGGGAGATTTTGCCTGTTTACTGTGCTCATGATAAATTAAATCTAGCTGTAAAATAAAAAAAAATTAAATTAATTATGGGAATAATTTATATATATATGTACATGTATCCTCATAATATCTCAATCTCAAATGTTTTCATATAGATCATATTCTGCTTCAAGAACAAACTTTTTTGAGAGACAGAGAGAGCTCCAACCATTGATTCACTTCCCAGATGCATGCAACAACCAGAGCACAGCCAGCAGCCAAGAAAGCAATCCAGATCTGGTGACAGGAACCCAATCATTTGAAACATCACCCTACCTCCTTGGGTCTGCATTGTACAGGAAGATGGAGCTAGGAGCCAGAACTGGGAATCAAACCCAAGTACTCTGATATAGAATGTGAGCATCTTAGCCACTTGGCTAAACATCCATTCCCAAGATCAACAGAACTTTGAACATACTTTTGTAGCATAGGATTACATGGTGTCAAATATTACTTCTTTAAGAATGATAAAGGGGCCAGCGCTGTGTCACAGCGGGTTAAAGCCCTGGCCTGAAGTACTGGTATCCCATATGGGCACCGGTTCTAGTCCCAGCTGCTCTTCTTCCAATCTAGCTCTCTATTGTGGCCTGGGAAAGCAATAGAAGATGGCCCAAGTCCTTGGGCCCCTGCACCCATGCAGATGGAAGAGCTCTCTCTCTCTCCGTCTCTACCTCTCTCTGTAACTCTTTCAAACAAATAAAATAAATCTTTTTTAAAAAAGAATGATCATAAGATGAGCCTGCAAGGGATAGCAGGTAAAACCACCCCTTGCAACACCAGCATCCCATATGGGTGCCATTTCAAGTCCCAGCTGCTCCACTTCTTATCCAACTCCCTGCTAACGCACCTGGAAAAGCAGCAGAAGGTGGCTCAACTGCTTGGGCCCCTGATCCACGTGGAAGATATGAAAGAAAGCTCCTGGCCACTGGCTTCAGAATGGCCCAGCTCTGGTCATTGTGGACATTTGGGGAGTGACCCAGTAAATGGAAGATCTCCCTCTGTCTCTCCCTCTCTCTCTGTAACTCTGCCTTTCAAATAAATAAATAAATCTTTTTAAAAAGTAGTCATAAGAACAAAACTTCCAAGTCTGAAGGCAGAAAAATATATTGGTTGTGGAAATGTTATAATGAGTGCTGATCCATACATTTATTCCATAATTTTAAATTTTGAAAAATGTGAATATCTAATTACTTACTGTCCAAAGAATGCCTTTTCATCATCATGAAAGGCTTTGCACAAAACATCAGCTTCTGGTCTCGCAAACGGAGGCAAGTCGGGTTTATCATCCTTGTGGTGCAGGAAGCATTCGTTTCGCTCAGGTTCTTTTTTCTCACAGCAGTCAGCCACGTCACCATAGGTGTCACGAAGACTTGGCAATGCACAGATTTTGTCTCCAAAAATATCATGCTAAATGGAAAAGATCGGGCACAAAGTTGATAGGAAGCACTTTATTCTCTTTATAGGCAATGAACAGTATAGGAAATGTAATATACTGATAGAGCTTGGCAGGGAATCATATAAAAATGTACTCCCCTTCCAGTTAGCATTTCCCTCCATTTGACCAAATCTGTGTAATTTTCATAAGAATTAATTGCCACCCTGTTACTTATGGAGGATAAGACAGAAGGGCAAAAAATGTTTTGAAAAGTGTTTCACTACTCCACTTCCCACGTGATATAGAAGACCAGGAAAGCAATTATTGTTACCAAAAATCAAGGAAAAATGTCATTCTATGTAGCAAGTGATTTCACATCAGAGAGCAAAGTGTTCAGATAACTTCTCATTTGATGTACTCTTTTTTAAGAGGTCTGACTTTCTAGTAAGTTTCATTTAAAACAGAGAAGTAACATGATCTACTACATATTAAGTTATTGCATTAAAAATACAAGTTTTTTTAATTCTGGAAATATTTACTTCAAAATATTTAATTCATTAAATGAATCCCTTCCTTCTCCCATTCATTTTTATTATGAAAGTCCTTGTCATCCAGGGAAATTATACTCTAAATTCTGTTCTATGCAGAATTAAATTAATTCTTCAAAAAGTATATTTTTAAAATTTTGGATTTTTAAAACTGCAATATTGTTACAATTTAGTTATTCTCCCATAGGGAGAAGAACACCAAAAGAAATCAGAGAAAGTCTCTAGTGTAAATGAAAAATGCCCCCCAAGAGGCATGTATAGACTGAGTTGTGAAACATAATTTCTCCTTGTTTTAAGACTTGTCTGGAAATGCCAAAAGCTCAAAGTTCTTCAGAATGACTGAGTACCTTGATTTTTCAAAACATGTAAAACTACAGATATCCCTAAAATGAGGAATGTATAGATGTACTATTATTTCATTCAGTTAACAAAATTAGCACACAAATCAGTTGGAACTTTCTGAGATAAAAATCATACTTTCACCTCAAAGAGATGCTCCTGACAGCACTATGCACAACAGTCAAGATGTGGTAATGTATGCCCATTAACAGATAAGTGGATAAAGGAAATGTGATACATATACAAACACATAATGAAATACTATTCAGCCTTAAAAAGAAGGAAATCCTGCAACAGACACCAACATGGGTGACCTTGTTGGACACCATGCTAAGTGAAATAAACCAGCCATAGACAAATGCTGAATGATTCCACTTACATATGGTATCTAAAATTACCAAATTCACAAAATCAAAGAGTAGAGTGATGGTTGTTAGGGGCTGAGAGGAGGAAATAGTTACTAGTCAACCAGCATAAAGTTTCCATTGAGCAAGATGAGTAAACTCTGATGATCTGCTATGTAAATTGAAGATATAGTCAACAATGCAGTATTGTGCACATTAAAAATTAGTTAAGGGGGCTGGCGCTGTGGCATAGCAGATAAAGCCGCTGTTTGCAGTGCTGGCATCCCATATGGGCACCGGTTCAAGTCCCAGCAACTTCACTTCTGATCCAGCTCTCTGCTATGGCCTGGGAAAGCAATAGAAGATGGCTCAAGTCCTTGGGCCCCTGCACCCGCATGGGGGACCCGGAAGAAGCTCTTGGCTCCTGGCTTCGGATCAGCACAGCTCCGGCCGTTGGGACCAACTGGGGAGTGAACCAGCAGATGGAAGACCTCTCTCTCTGCCTCTCCTCTCTCTGTGTAACTCTGACTTTCAAGTAAATAAGCAAACCTTTTCAAAAAAAATTTTTTTAAATTAGTTAAGAGAGATCTCATACCGTGTTCTTAACACAACAAATCAAAATAAATAAATAAAAGCATGCTATCACTATTCACCTCTAAGAAAAAAAATCTAACTGAAAGGATTGCTGCAAATCTCAGATTACCAGTTAGACACATTAAAACTGTTGTGTGTGGTCTCAGTGAAGAAATGTCTGTTAGAACTGGGCACAGTTAGCGTGTCTTCTCCCAGAAGAAGTGATGACTTATTAGTCTATAAGATATTTAGGTGCTGCTTACCATCTGGTCATTTAACAATAATTTTTAAAACTGAAAAGAATTTTCTTCATTTGAAATATTTGGGTACTTAAAAGAAAAGAAAAATCTTCAAGATTGGAATGTACTTACAAGTGATTTGTCACAATTTGCTGCTGACTCATCAGCAACACATGCTTTTGCCAAGTCTGTTACTTCCTTCACTAACTTCGCATGCTCTTCATATGGGCACTTCTGGAGATACTGAGAAAAGGTAATCAGCACCCTGAAACAAAGGTCACAAGAATTTGTAGCACAAAGATTTTAACACAAAACCAGTTGCTATGCTAGAAGGCAAGTCATGTACTCACATGCTCTATATATTATACATCTGTCTTACTGCACCAATTATTGACTGTTCACATCAGGTGTTACATGAGACCTAACCAGGCACATGTGGCTTAGTAGACAAAGAGGATATTTAACAGGATAGTCCCAACATTCATGAAAAATACAAATAATTTATTTTTATGAACAAAAACTTTTAAATTTATGGAGTTTCTTACAATATATATTTTTCATGAACTTTTTATGACCCCTCATATACATGGATTTCAAATTTTTTTGCATCAAGATTATCTTTTACCTCTAGTTTCCCTCAAACTTTGTGAAGTATCCTTGTATTTCCACAATGCTTAAATGTATGTGTGTGCATGTTACATATCTATGCACACACACCGAGCAAGAATGAAAACTGCATGCCAATTAGATGTAATTGGCAAAACTAGGAGTCATGTAAGTCCTTTGAATTGCTTAAAATAAAAAACAAAACCCACACACCTCATTTAATCAGGTTGTGGGATGAGAATGACCTTTAATAATGTAAACTATTTTCTCATTTTCTTCTTAGATTAAAAAATTTTAAAATGTTCCCAAGAAACCACAGGACTTCATACAATGTAAGGGGAATTTTGTAACTGAGGTGCAAAGGAACCCCATATCACAGTCCTTTCCATGAGGCAGGTTATAGCAGAGTTTGAGTGTTTCACCATCCAATATAGTAGCCACTAACCACATGTGACTACATAAATGTAAATTTATTAAAATTAAATACAATTTAAATTTATGCCCCTCAGTTGCACTTGCCATATTTAAAGTACTCAGTAGCCATCCATGACCAATGGCTACCATATTGGAAAGCATGATACATAATGTTTCCATCAGTGCAGAAAATTCTATTGGACAGCTCTGTTCTAGTATCTGGAACCTCCAGGTCATCACAAACACAAAATTTGACTCTTTCATATTTTAACTTACAGGCCTATGAAATGTTCTTCTCCCACATCATTAAACCGATGAGCAATCTCACTTTTATCTGCAAGAAGGGCAAAAAAAAAAAAAAAAAGACAAAAGAGTTATATAGAGACTGGAGAAAACTACAAGTTATTATGCTTTATGTTTCATTCCAAAATTTGAACTCTGACCTATCCAGAAAACCTTAAGCTGATGATGAGCTATTTCTTCTGCATTTAAACAGAATTATTCAATTTCCAAGAATGCTGTTTTAAAAATCTTTAAGAGGCCGGCGCCGTGGCTCAATAGGCTAATCCTCCACCTTGCGGCGCCGGCACACCGGGTTCTAGTCCCGGTCGGGGCGCCGGATTCTGTCCCGGTTGCCCCTCTTCCAGGCCAGCTCTCTGCTATGGCCAGGGAGTGCAGTGGAGGATGGCCCAGGTGCTTGGGCCCTGCACCCCATGGGAGACCAGGAAAAGCACCTGGATCCTGGCTCCTGCCATCGGATCAGCGCGGTGCGCCGGCTGCAGCGGCGGCCATTGGAGGGTGAACCAACGGCAAAGGAAGACCTTTCTCTCTCTGTCTCTCTCTCTCACTGTCCACTCTGCCTATCAAAAATAAAAAAAAAAAATTAAAAAAATTAAAAAAAAATCTTTAAGTATTTGTAGCTATCTATTCAAATTTGGATATGATTTAAAGTTCTTGTAGTATCTAATAACAGCTATTAAGAAGACAATCTGGGGGGCCGGCGCTGTGGTACAGCAGGTTAACGCCCTGGCCTACAGTGCCGGCATCCCATATGGGTTCGAGGCCCGGCTGCTCCACTTTCTATCCAGCTCTCTGCTGTGGCCTGCGAAAGCAATAGAAGATGGCTCAGGTCCTTGGGCCCCTGCACCCATATGGGAGACCCGGAAGAAGCTCCTGGCTCCTGGCTTCGGATCAGTACAGCTCCGGCCATTGCAGCCAATTGGGAAGCGAACCATTGGATAGAAGACTCTCTCTCTCTCTCTCTCTCTCTCTCTTTCTCTGTGTGTGTGTGTATGTGTGTGTGTGTCTCCTTTTTCTGTGTAACTCTTTCAAATAAATAAATAAATCTTAAAAAAAAGAAGACAGTCTGAAACAAAAGTAACTAAATATGAGCTCTATTTGTAAAATTAACACCGCAAACATTTTTTTTTGCTATGTTTTGTAAAGGATAACACAGTGAATAGGGTAAGAGATAGTTGGAGTTACAAATTCTATCTTCACCTCTGCTTCATGAACTTTATGACACTGTCTCAAGTTCATTTATGCACAAAATAATTATAACCACTAAACAGTTCTCTGTACCTTTTTCACCTAGGATGTTTGAAATACAAAGATAATCTCATAAGGGCTCACAAATATAAAATATTTCTTACAACATTCTAACAACAAATACTAAAAAAAAACAATGCTTTAAAGATAGATGAAGAGTTTACCGAAACATCTTTTACTAGGAAAATGAGATAAAAATTGAGCAACAGAAAACCAGAATTCTTACGTGCTTCTCGGCGAAACACACCCCTGGAATAAGCAGAGCTGAAGAGGAAAAGAAGGGAGATAAAGGTTACCCACTTCATTGTGCCAAAGGCTGTGGGTTGGTAGAAGAGAAAAGATAGGGTGAATGGAAGGAACTCAGCACTAATATACTTCTTTAACCAATAATTGTAGATTATTAACTAGACTCATCTTTGTATTTCATTGGCTCTCAACTGATTGCAAAATTCATAATATTCTTGCCAAAAAATTGTTTGACTAAATTCCTTGTACATGTTTGCTATCTGGAACTGTTTTCTGTACAAAACCTTGCCAATTCATTAAAGTTATATAAAACATCTTATCAAATTTTACATAAGAGTTTAAACGATTTGTACCTATTATTCGTTGCCATGTTCTTTATCTGCAAACTCCCATTTGAACATTTTAGCTTATGGTGTTTGCAAAAATGTGAACAAACCAAGAACTTTACTTAGAAATAAGAGCTATTAAAAGAGGTAAGTCTCAAATTCTACCTGTTACTAATTCCAATTGTGTTTTTGTTGATAAATAATGAAAAATTTACACACACATTAAAAGATTTTGATGTTTTACATTCCTTTGAAACTGTTCTGTCTGAAAAAGCTGATGATGGCTCAAATGCAAAGAGAGAGAGAGAGAGAGAGAAAGGAAGGAAGGAAGGAAGGAAGGAAGGAAGGAAGGAAGGAAGGAAGGAAGGAAGGAAATAAGAAAGACAGGAAGGCCATAGCAACAATAACAACTGCATACCAGAATCTTCAAAAAGCTCATTAACAATGTGTGTTATGAGAAAATAATTTGGATTTCAAAATTCGTTTCCCAAAATGAACTTATCTTTCAATTCCACTTTTCCATGAATTTCTCAACATTACCTTATATTTGGCTTTTTCATGTTTTCACTCCAACTCTGACCTACAGGTGATTCAGTCCCTGAGGTAGGATACTGAGAACCAATATGAGCATCTCATTTTCAGCTAAGGAGACCCAGGAAAGAAAATGGACCAAAATGGCAATGATGATGGGCTTTGCCACTATTTACACAAGAGGACAGCCTGAATTCTGACTATACCTCTAGGGATTATGGGAATCCTATGTCTTCACCAGACATCAGTCTCTCCATTTCTTCATCTTCATAAATAGAAAAATTGCATACTCTTCTGTAAAGGTACTCTAAATTCCAAAATGAGTTTAGCAGTATGTCTAAAAATAAAACAAGAAGAGATAATTTCTTATCCTTCCCCACTTTTCTCTGCCCAGGGTTCTGACCTTACCTCAAATGGATGTTCTTCCTCTGCCCTTACACTCTAAAGATGAAGAACTACTGCTCTCGACCCCTAGGACAACTTTCTCTGATACTGTAGAACAACCATTGCATCAGGCCAGTTATTTCCCATAATTAAATAACTGATTCAGTCCAAATGGTCAGTCATGCTGCTCCACAGTAATATAGAAAAGGTGCATTGTATCTAATGAAAACAATGTATTGTGCAGACTAATAAATCCTCAAGATAACCATTATCGTTCCTATTCGTGCTTATAATGAAAGAAATATGCTTTCTACAATGTTATTTCATTTATTTCATCTCCAGGAATGTGTACTAATTAAATAATCGAGCACAGAAGAGGAGAAAATAGGTAACAGAGAGTTTGGGGTGGGGTTTTTTGTTTGTTTGTCTGTTTGTCTTTAATGAGCCAACAGAGTACCAGACTTGTATTTCAGGCCATGGGTTAACAGAAACCTATATTGAAAAAGAAAGAGAAAAACTATTCTAACTTCCTAAATAGAAACAAATAGTTCTTTCTAGTATAAATTATGGAAATTTTCCTTATAACTTCCTAGATGCACTATCTTGTTGGTTTTGTGTGTGTGGTTTTTTTGTTTTTGTTTTTGTTTTTGTTTTTTTAAGCCAGCGGCCAACCTTACCCTTTTTCTGATAGGAAATCCAGGGGAAGGACTAAGGCAACATACAGTCTTTTTCACTGAAAATAGTTATATAATTGATGTAAAATTCAAGCCTTTGTCACACAAACACACACACACACACACACGTGCACACACACATGCACACACACATAACTGTGCTTCTATTTTCACCTAACAAATTAGAAGAACAGTTGTTTTATTTATTCTATAATGCATTATATTACAGTACAATGGTAAACAAAGAAAACCTAAAAAATTTGAAATCCATCATGACTGAATAGGAACTTTAATTTCCATATATTTAATGAAGAACTCAAAGCTTTACAATATGAAATTGATAACATCTGCACTTTCCTTGTAGTACCTTTGAGGGGTTTTACATGTTTAATCCTTATTAAAAGTCAGTAGATAGTTGAGAAATTAAAATATTTCATTTCTAACACTATTTGCATGTTTAACATTCACCTTAATTAATAAGAAATCCTTGAACATTTGCAAAGCAAGAATTGCAAAATTTTCCATAAAAACTTCTGGCATTAATTTACATATACAGGCTACACTAACAGGATTAAAACCACATAATTGTTAGTTATTTCTAAATATCCTGTTCTTCAATCTTTTGAATTCTATGTTTAGTCAGTCCTCAAAGAATTCTGGCATGAGATAAATGCAAATATTTAAGCTAAGAGTTATAAATATGGTTTATAGAATCCATCTTCTAAGTAACTAACAAATTAGCTTCAGTGATTTTAAAATGTCTTTTCATTTTTAGGGAAGAAATTTAAAATAAAGAGTCATCAAGAAAATTACTTTATTTAGAAAGAATAATAGTGTACCAATCACTGAAAAGAGGCCAAAAAAAAAAAAGAGTTGAAATATGAATGCAAGCAGGAATTGAACCAGAGCCTTTTTCTCTTTTGCCTCTTGCTTTGCATTCAGTTTGGATAGAATAGGCACAGTTTTGAAGTAGATGAACTGTCTCCTTCTAGTGCCCCACTTTCTTACCACGGTATACATAGCTGTAAACCTACACCCTCTGCGGCTCTTTGAGCTCCTGGCGTTTCTCACCAGCTGTTCCAACCAGGCTTCCCCTCCACCAGGCAATCCTGGTCCCTGAGGATCTCTCCCTCTGGAACCACTTACCACTTCTCACAGAAGTAAAGTGAACATATTCAGGACATATGACAACAAAGTCTGATGCCATCATCAGTATTTTAGCACACTTCCTAGAAATAACTGCCTTATTCCCAGTCATTCTAAATACAGAGACGTGGAAGCAGGAAGAGTTTTTCTCAGCATTCTTCCTCCTAAACAATGGACTTGGGCTGATCCTACCACTTCCTACCGGGAAGTACCTGGACTACTTTCTAACACAGAAGGCTAGAAAAGTACAAGATCACTAAGAATCAAACAAACCAATTGAAATACAATAAGCACTTTCATTTCGTATTTATTCATAAAGATATGTTACCCAATTAAAACATAAGACAACTGCTCCAAGTGTATTAACTTACACAGGCATTTCTAATGCAAATAAAAAGATGTTACCCAAATGTCATCTGTTTCCTCATCTCCCTCCAGAAGCCATTCCCTCAAAATATCAGCATAAATTAGTGAGAAATATGGAATTTGCTGAAGACTTTAAGGAGGAGAATGCAGGTATCGTAAAAAAACACACTAAATGACCATCGTGGACTTGTGCCATCTCTTAAACCTCTTTCCCCTTTTCTGGTGAAATCGTCCCCTTTTCTGCCTTACCCTCATGTTACACTGGATTAAGGAATATATGTCTGCTTCCACTCAGATATCCTAAACTTTTTATTTCAGATTTGTCAATTCTTTACCAGGCAGTTTAATTCAGCTTAGAGAGGGTTTCTAGCTGCAGACTGGGACATAAGTTATCTGTAAGGCTTCCTCTACCTTGAACATTCTGTGATTCTGTGTTCTGAATGTGATAGTCTCATAAAACCAGAAAACGACCTGGCCAGCAGGGAAGATATACCAAGCTGCAGAGGTAGGATCCAAATTTGAGAGCTTGCTCATGCTTAAACCGCACAGTTGTTTCTTGGTCGTTCCTACCTGTCTGGTTCACCTTAACAGTTTTAGAAAAGTAAAAGGTCACTTGAACTTGTTCAAACTACATTAATAAAATGAGGTTTTCTCATATCTTTTTATCAGGTTTATCCATTGTAGGAAAAATACAGTTAATACTGTAATCTATGCTTATCCACTTTTCACAAATTAATAGCAAATAGAATCTATTAACATATAAATTGAAAATAACACTAGTAACTCCTCTTCCAAAACAATGTCTACAAATGATAACCAAGCAGAAATGAATGCAATGCTGCAAGTCCATTCCTATTCTGTATTTTTTGCAAATGCAGTTCAAGAGACTACCTAAGAAAACTTTAATTTTAAATTACAAAAATGAACTTTAGCAGTTTCTTATAAAATAATAAGGCTTCTATGAGTAAAATATTCCTATGCTGAAATTTTAGGAGCTCAATTTTAAGATATTTTAATTAAAGGGTAAATTTATTTTTCTCCTTAAAGTCTTCTAAACCTTTAGGAATTATTAAATGTTTTGTAGTCTTCCAGTGTCAGTCCTTAGCTGGAACTTCCTCCATCTGACACCCAAACAAGCCTTGGAATTTAAGTCTTGAAATTCTCAGAAGTTTTCCAAGTGACTACATATGGACTTACATCAAGAAAAGGATTATTTGTGGGCCAGCACTGTGGCCTAATGGGTAAAGCCGCCGCCTGCAGTGCAGGCATCTCATATGGGCACAGGTTCAAATCCCAGCTGCTCCACTTCTGATCCAGCACTCTGCTATGGCTTGGGAAAGCAATAGAAGATGGCCACGTTGTTGGGCCCATGCACCCATGTGGAAGACCCAGAAGAAGCTCCTGGCTCCTGGCTTCTGCCTGGCCCAGCTCCAGCCATTGCAGCCACTTGGGGAGTGAACTAGTAGATGGAAGACTTTTCTCTGTCTCTTTGCCTCAGCCTCTCTGCAACTCTGACTTTCAAATAAATAAATAAATCTTTAAAAAAGATTATTTGTATTGGAGTGAAATGGACATTTTGAGAGGTGATGATTGTTTACAGCCCTTGTCTCGTCTATTGAGGAACAGTGGTTTTTTTTCTTCACACTGTTTGTTGAACTCTTACTTCGTGCAGGGTTAACTTTGTGTTCATTAAGTAAACTGAAATTAGAACTTTGTAAAAATTAGGAGTGGGAATGGGAAAAGAAGGAGGAAGAGGGGTTGGAGTATGGGCAGGAAGGAGAGTAGGGTGGGAAGTATCACTATGTTCTTCAACCTGTATATATGAAATACATAAAACGTGTATAACTTAAATAAAATTTTTAAAAAAGAAAAGAATTAATGTTAACATCTAAAAATATATTAAATAAATAATTGGCCTATTTCTCTTCTCTAATTAGAATAAATAATACAATGTGAATATTTTAAAAGTTATTTTAAATATATATTTTGGGTATATAAGCATTGAATTATTCAAAATTAGTTTGTTGTTAGACATTGAGAAGAATAGAAGTATCTCATTAGAAAAATTTATGTTTTGAAGGTTTTGTTTGCAAAATAAGTCATTTAATAATAATGTGATACAACAAAACTATGCATTTGAATAGAATAAACCAATTTCAGTAGCATATGATGCTGATAATGACATTCTCTTTCCAAATGGTTGCTGATTCGGTTATGGTATCTCCAATAGCTTAAGTTTCTAGTTGAAATACATGTACTTATTATTTTCATTTTTGTATTTATACTATATTCATTATAGATATATAAATTAGACTTTCCACACTTAATATCTTGAAAGCAGATGGCATATTGATGAGTCCAAATTTCTCTCTGCAGTTACAGGGAAATCTGGCAAAAAGCACACATCAGGAGTAATGATATCAAAAAGTAAACATTACCCTGGCATCAACAAATACACTATTTGTTTGGGAACAACAGCCTTATTGCTGACAGGGTACAATGTTTCATGTTTACTTTAAGTACCACCACTTAATCTTTAATTTATACTCAAGATTTACTGAGTGTCCACAAGTTGCCTAGTAATTATTAGACCCTTAGGATACAAAAGATTAATAAGACACACAAAGTTCCTGACTTCAGGAGCTTACAGTTTGGGAAACAGGTAAACATGACCATAATGAAATTGCAACATTGTAAGTTACTTTGCTTGGAGAATACAATGTACTCTTAGTATGATAAAGAAGTAGTAGAAGAAAAGCTCTAGATGTAAGAGCAATCTGTGCATAAGGAAGACCTGGGAGTTCTAACCTCTTTAACTACTTATGCAACACAAAAGACTAAAATTTCAATTTTGCATTCGCTGGGTTCATTTTGCTTGTGAAAGATTTTGCCTGGAGACATACAATGAAGAAGCAGAGGATGAAGGAAGTATGGAAGATTTGAAGATGTGTAACTTCTAATGATTGACAATAGACCAAAACAAAGAGTGGGGCTGTAAGTTAAGAAGATAGTACTTACTGCAGAAATGTTAGGAAAGAAAAGGAAAGCAGGCTGGCAGATAGAAAAGCAGACTTCACAATTTGGGGGATTTCTAGACAAAGCTAACTAGGGAAGTGTGGCCATTTTAGTATTACAAATCCCAAAGAAAGATACCATCCTTACAGAAAGTTAGAAAACTAAAATATATATATAGAGAGAGACCCTTGAGGAGGAAATAGTTTATCTAAGGTGATAGACAAAGTGGGTAGATCACTTGAATATTTAGGAGGAAACAATGTCCCTAAATAAGGCAGTATTTATTAAACAATATCGTGTGCCTGGAAGTCTGAGAAAACTTTCCTGGGAATGTGACATTTGAGCTGAGAATTTTTTAAGTGATCTTGAATAAGGAGGAAAGAAAACAGCCTTCCAGGCAGAAAGAACAGTGTATGAAAATGGTTGAGTCAAGAAAGAGTTTGAGGGACCTGTGTTGAGGTGCAGCGGGTTAACACCCTGTCCTGAAACCCCAGCATCCCACATGGACACCAGTTCGAGTCCCGGCTGCTCCACTTCCATTACAGCTCTCTGCTGTGGCCTGGGAAAGCAGTGGAGGATGGCCCAGGTACTTGGGCCCCTGCACCCATGTGGGAGACCCTGAAGAAGCTCCGGGTTCCTGGCTTCGGATCAGCACAGCTCCAGACGTGCGGCCAACTGGGGAGTGAGCCAGCGGATGGAAGACCTCTCTCTCTCTCTCCCCCTGCCTCTCCTCTCTCTGTGTAACTCTTTCAAATAAATAAATAAATCTTAAAAAAAAAAAAAAAAGAAAGAGCTTGAAAGAAATTTTGGAAAAATTAGACACACAACCTCAGAGACAGCAAAGTGTGAGATAAGATAGAGTAAGATATCTTTTTATATGTCATCTTAGGTCTTTACTCCAAAAGCAATGGAAAAATGTTGAATGATTTTATTAGTACGATGATATAATCTGGTCTTTGCTTTGGAAATATTATTCCTGCAGTGTGGTGAAGAGGCTGGGGAGAGTAAGAATGTATGTAGGAATCAGAAGTCTACAAAAATGATCCTAACATCAGAAGATGAGATCTTAAATTATATCAATGGTTTAGAAATGGAGAGGAGTAAAAGATTAGAGAAATTTAGCATAAGTCCTGGCTTTTGACCCAAGTAACAATGTCCCTTCTACAAAACCCAGTGGCTTAGAAAGCCTCCTCTGGCCTTCTCCAGATATTCTCTGCTGAAAGAATCCACAAATCAAAGGGTATATGCCTCCAGTCTGCCTGCTTCTTCTTGACCATGATTCAGGTACCTTCACCATGAAACTCCATGGCCAAACAGCCCTGGAAACCTTCTAGGACCTGAAAGGGCCACTGACACATGCATATCCTCCCGTGGACAGACTGTGAGTGGATGTGTTTACCCCTAGGCTGAACAGGGCCCAGGAAACAGCTGCTTGGAAGCCTATGATCAGACCCAGGATGTGAGGAATAAGGTTTCCACACACACGGAATTGAGTCCCCACCTTACTGCAAGGGGGAGTCAGCACTGGGCAGAGGAGATATGGGCAAGCATTGGTGGTTGATTCTTCCTAGAAAAAATTTCATGGAGATAAACCTGCATAGAGCATCGAGTCATTCCGGAAGGGACTGCTGTTTTGTTAGTAACTTCCTGATGGGTGGAATCACAGACAGGTGATAAGGTGACTGAAGTGGTGCTCCCATCGTTCCTAAATCTCACCACATATGGCCTGTCCCACTAGGACAAAAGGTTAACTGACCCTCGTAAATAACCACTGGAGCCTGGACTTTGGTGCATGAACTTTGATATCTCTATTTGTTCAGAAACCCTCTCTCTCTCTCTCTCTCTCTCTCTCTCTCTTTTTCTCAGACCATTGAGGTTCTTAGATTAAAGTTTTCCTCCTGAAGTGCTACAATCTGTATCCAACATCCTCTTGAAATATAATGAGTTCCTTGAAAGCAAAAACCGTGTCTCATGTTCATTATGTCCAGCACCAGATCTTTTATCTTTGGATAAAAGAGCCGTGTATAATTTCAATTGATTGTCAGCTTGATTTCACTGGCCAAGAGACAACTGCACACCCAAGATAAGTGGCCACGAGCAACTTGATACCATGTGTCCTCTTACATTTTTCTTTTCTCATTAAATGCAGTCGAGGGAATTAGTGTAGTTTGAGGGATGAAATAGAAGTAAGCAGGTTGGAAGAAACTGCCTTACTTCAATATTAACCAACTGAAGAGGCTAAGAACATTCTCGACAATCAGCATACTGAGGTGTATTTATTTATTTTAAATATTTATTTATTTATTTATTTGAAATGCAGAGTTACAGAGAGACAAAGGCAGAGGGGGGGCAGTCTTCCATCGATGATTCATTCCACAGAGAGCCAAAAGGCAGAGCTGTGCCGATCCGAAGTCAGGGGCCAGAAGCTTCTTCCTGGTCTCCCATGTGGGTGCAGGGCCCCAAGGACTTGGGCCATATTTTACTTCTTTCCCAGGCCATAGCAGAGAGCTGGATCTGAAGTGCAGCAGCCAGGACTCGAATTGGCGCCCCTATGGGATGCCAGCATTGCAGGCTGCAGCTTTACCCACTACGCCACAGAGCCAGCCCCTATGGTTTATTTAAATAGTCCATGACATATCCCACTGGCCCAATAATCATGTTCGTTGTACAGAATGTTGCTCAATACTTACAGCATGCCTATGGCTGACATTTATTCGCCTGTCCCTCCTGAGCCAAATCCAAGTCTCAGTTCCCATTTTGAATTTTATTTAGATGAGTCCCCAAAGGGGATGCTAAAGGAGTTTAAATATGAAAATCCAATCCTCCCAACGACTGAACCATCCTGCATTTTTTCTAACCATTTGTTATAGAGAAACTTGCCCACTTTATCACATGGTGCAGTTGCTTCCAAATCAGTCAAATTAAACTGACATCCACAGTAACCTAAATCAGTCCACTCAGTCCTTTGGTTCCTACTCATTATACCTTAAAATTGTGACTAATCCTAGAAACATCAAAGAAATCTGACTTCAGAAGTGGGGAGAGGAGGACAGATAACATTCCTTTACTCAATAGAAAAAATCTGGCATGTCAATCATTAATAAAGATATGCTTCCTTTTAAACCAAAACATAAGTTTTTATAGGAAAAAAGCAGTAAATGATAGAATTTCATGACCATTCCGATGTTCTTTATTATCCACACACTAGGGAATATTCAAGTGAATTCTTCACGTGTTGGAGGCTGCTTTGTTTATACCCATGATCATCTAGGGAGACTTCCTACACCTGTGAACTCAAACTTATTTCCTAATGCCATAAGGTGCAACTCCAAAGTCTCTACAAGACTGTTATTGACAAAATTCTCTGCAGCATGTCTACTACAGTAAGATTATGATTTCTAACTATCTTTCAAGCAATTTCCAAACAGGATCATGAAATAAATTTAGCATATTATGACAGTTTGTTTCAGTAAAATACAAGTGATAAAGTTGATCCAAGTGCCTTGCATATTGAAAGATAAGTACTATTTTGTGAAATTTTTGTGATACCATATATGTCGATATCATTCACCATGTAAAATGCACTTCTTAATGTAGTCACTGTCAAAAAAAAAGCAACTTGGAGATCCACTTCCCCCAATGAATCCACTTACATCAGCTCAGTATGTTCAAAATCAGTTGGCACCACAATCGTCAGCTAATTTTTTCCCATATCTCCCATTTGACTTACAATAACATAATTCTCCATGTCACTCATTTTCATAGGTTTGGAGTAACTTTAATACCTCCTTCTCCTCAACATCAATTATTCAATTTGTCCCAAAATAGCTTTAATCCACCTTCATATTTATCTTTATCCCCCAGGACACTGACACCACATCGATGACTGATTTGGCTCTCAAAAAAATCG